CGGGGCAGAAGTACTGCGATCGAGCAGATAGACAAGCAATGGGATATCGGAGACCGGTCCGATTTCTTGATAACAACGACCGTACACCACAGCCATTGCATGGAGACACAGACAACGCATGGCCAGACGATGCGCACGTTGTTCACTATCCCGAGTACCTCGGGTTCGACTGGTCTGTGGTTTGTTCAAGCCCAATGCCGGTCCCGAGGCAATATATTGCAAATAGCGTCGGAAAAGTTCGTTGAAGAACTGTTTGCTGATAATACGGGGGAGGGGGAGGGGAGGAGAGGTTTCATTATCTGCACAACTATAAGTATGATATACGTGGGCCGAGCAAGTAAACTTATCCATCTTGTTTGGAACGGTCGGGAGAAGAAATGTACGTACGCACTGGAGTTCCAAGAAGAAATTTCCCTGAGTAATGAAAGCGCTGGTCTATAAGAAAAAGGGAAGAGCGAAATAGACCGAGTCTTACGGGACACGGTACCTACCTACACTGAGTGCGCATCGCTAAATTACCCGAATAAGGTATTCCACCGTGGAATGCTTGAATTGACACGCGAGTTCCGAAATAAATCAACAGGGGGTCAAACGTCAAAAAAAAGCGGAAAATGTTTTTGCTTGATCACAGACACAAGCTCGGTGCATTGTTGCCGCTATTAGTCCCGACACCTACTCGCGGACTATTCGAATCCCAAACAGAGACAATAAAATAGTACGCAATGTTGATGGCGACCAACAAGGACAAAACAGCTGTTCAGTATTAGTTATCGGCCTTCATAAAAATGTTACCTTAACCGAGCGGTATGACGCGTTTAGGCATTATAGCTAGCCACCAGAACGTATCGCAAACAATTTATTGCAAACAAATTATTTGTAATCTTATTTACTTTCTCTTCAAAACGCAAACAAAGGTAATGAGCAAGTCCACTAGACAAAGATGACCGAAACAGTGCATTTCACCTTCAGTTATTAGTGACGGGAGTGTTCGGATCAATTCAGTTTTCGTCACCATTATTCATGAACTTTCGTGTGCAAATTTTGATTGCTATCTTTCGGGTAACTATTTGTATAAAAGAGCAGAAGACAGATTGGAATGTCGGGAGCAGACTAGAAAAAGATAGAGAATCCACATAGATTGCAGTTGCCAGGATAACGAGTAGATACAAGAGAGGGCCACTGTTTAGGACACTCGGCCATATCACTTTGTATCACCGGTCACGAGAATCTCCCGGGGTTAGTATCCAAAGGGCCTAACGCGAGCCACATGATCGAGATTTCCGGTCAGGGTTTTCATACATCTTTTATCTTTTTATATGTGATTCGATCTAATCATTGGCGATTAGTTAGTCTGTGACCAGCAGAAATAACTATAACCAAGTCGTTTTCCAACCCCCTCACTCCTTCTCCCATGGTTACGCTTCGACTGACTGGCACGGATGTGGAGCAGGGGCCGGGGTAGAATTTGTCAAGTTCTATTCGAGTTATCTTTTTCATCTTTTTATTTCTACTTCCTTTTATTGAATTTAAAAAGATACAATTTTCAGGAAGGGGAGAAGCGGCCAATCAAACGGGGCTGCCATTCAATACACACAATGGGGAAAGTCAGGCGGTGGTGGTGGGATTCGAACACACATCCCCGCGGGGTGATAATTTGGTGACGTTACCACCGGGCCACCACCGCCCGATACCAGAGGTCTTAGTTTGACTGCCCTTGACATTGTCCATCCACGGCCTAGTTCAGCAACCTACGCGCGCCTTCGTAACCTATCTGGTAGCATGCGCAACACATATTCTAACCAGCGTAATCGATGGAGGTCATCTGACGGGAATAACGAGTAATCGCACTGAAAAACACAACAATGAAATCTACTAAATGAGTGCAAATCATTTCTGACACAACAGTACATCTTAACGATTGCAAACAAAGGTGTCAGTTTTATTTGGTATCAGCAATCGACATTTGCATTTCTCAAAACCAAAGCGTGCGACAATCAGCACCAACAGAATGGACAAAATTAAAAAAAACAGACAGGCAGACGATGAGAAACAAAACCGCATAATTAACTACCTGTCTCGGATTCGTGACAGTCCCCTGGCGTGATCCTCCACATCGGCTGTATCTGTCGGTATGGTAGCATCTTCGCCCTGGACACGTTTGTCTTCCTCGAGCAACAGACGCAAATAGTAATTGCCCACACGAGGTTCATTGGCCAAACTGGGATGTTCCACTTTGAACTCACTGTGATTCCATGAGACCAGACTGGCCTACACACCGCGCACGGTGGATGTGACCACGGAGCATGTGGGTGCGAGAGCGAGAATGCGTAGGAAAAAATGCGCACGAGCGAGAAATGTGAGACAGGCCAATGAAGAACTGTCGTTTGATCAAGGCGGCAAAGTTTATTATATAACTCAATATAAGTATCAATAGACTGAATCCATTTAAGATATGCCCGATAAGTTATCAGATGCTACACTGATTTTGTTATCCGCAAAGTCTTAGCGTTGATTGATTCGAACTGACGATCCTTATGACTTCACCCTCACGCACAATATTCATTTCATCGATTAAACCATACACTCGGAAGTATTAAACTTGAGTTTCGCTCTTATTAGAGCTCATCAATAGTGCATTCCCACCTTCCCGTCTGGGATTTGAACTCCGGACCTATCGCACGAAAGGCGTGTGCGTAACCACTGTGTCAATCAGATTGATCCTCGGCAAAGATAAATAGAGATACAATGAGAGGGGATATCCAATGATGTGGTGGTGGTGGTAGTGTTGTAGTGGTTTAGTCGTTGTCACCGGCGTGCATTTGGCCCCAGGGTTCAAAGTTCGAACCCTGCCACCCAACTTTGATGTCGTCCGGTTTAATGCCACGCCTATCCTAGCGGGACCTTCGGTGACTCACCAATACAAGTCCCGGGTCTTGGATTACCGGTTTCCATCACCGAATAGCAGGTCCTCGTGACTATGAGGTTCATCCCGTGTGTTATTCATCACGCGAAAATGCATGTAATAAAAAAGTGGACACAGACGTACAATGCTTCGCTATTACTGCTCGTTTTTAAGTACAAGTTGAATTATTTTCTATGTAAAAGTGATTTCAGCTACCTAGCAGTGTTGAAGGAACTGAATGTGGATGGGCGAGCGAGTGAAAAGCTAGAATAGCAATTGCATGGCGACTGGTCAGGTTACATATTCGAATTTGCGCCGTGCATGTAGAAACACATACGTGTTTCGATGTGACTGAATCAGCCGGCATTAGCGTATATTGTACATTCGTCCAAGAGCATCATTGTTATTCGACATAGCCAATGACAGAGTTCAGGCTACGGGCTGTGCCAGGTGTAGAATTGCTCTGTACTTTTCAGTGTCACCTGAAGCTGACAGCATTTCGTTAATAACTGCAACAGATGCAAAAGGAAGAAAGGACAAACTCTGATATAATGAGTAAATGAGGATTGATATTGAGAATATTCGATTTTCTGATTATACCTGGGCAATCAGACGATCTGCTTGCATCCGGGTCGGACTGCCGGGGCATGCAGGCGGTTCAGAGGCGGCAGCCAAACGAGCCGGTGGTGAATTGGATCCGTTCACCGTGGGCAGCTCCGTTCTGGACTCTATCGGGGTGCTTGGAGCACTTTGAGATGGCACTGTGGAACTGATAACCGGTTGTTGTTGTTGTCCCGGTGTGACCATTTCCTCTCGATCTCGCATCGCAGAGTTCAGTCCGTGATCCGAGTTCTCGAGCATGCTCTGAGCGAAATAATCTCGTTCGCGACGGAATTGTTGCAATTCTTTTTCCATTGATTCACGTAACTCGTTTCTCGTCTAAGATACAAACGAGAGTTGGGGGGGGGGGTGAGGTGGGAGCAGTGACACACGGTAGATACCGAATTCATCATAATAAATGATCAAAAATTACGAACGCGCTTTGTGAGTAGTGGTCGAACAGTGCGCACAAAACCAATTGATTGTTGAAGTTGCACGTAAACAATAACATCGTTTCACACAAATCCACTTCGTACTCGTAAATTCCACACGAGATCCGGTTTCGCGTGATCCTGATCGAACTGGTAGAAGAAGTAGCGCCAATTGACCACCGGGTGCGTCGACCCGTTTTCGCGTAACGATTGAATCTGGTGTCGCGGCAATCGAAGCACAACCGGACGTTCTTCCATCTCGCGCGCCAAATTGGGCTATCATGGGGGAATGAGGATGTAGGGTGAGAAACCGCCAGAACGCGGGGATGAAAGCAAAAATGAAGCGGCAAGGATTTATGGTAGATTGAGTATGGACAAAAGGATAGCATGCGCGGACGAAATCAGTCGAGGAGGAACAATCAGAACAGAGAATCAAATCCTGGAACGATGAAGAAAAACAGACACAAAGAGGGGGAAAGCTACTCACGAACAGTATAAGCCACTTGGGTCGACGAGGTGCGCAACAGTGAGCCTTAAACGCAACGGCAACAGTGTGTCAAATGCGAACGGTGGAAGATGAAGAGACAGATAAAACTATCAAAGCAACACACACACACACATCCAACGAGAGACGATCATACGAAAAAAACCGTTTCACGATTCAATAAGGCGATGAATAAGGAAACTGTTTATGAACGAGAAACACGCTAAAAAAAGTTATTGCTCAGTTCATCTGGATTGGCAGACACCATGATTCGCTGAGTGATTTGCTTGTAGGTGTTTCGATTCCCCGGAAATCGTTTATTCAATCCATATACTGAATACATTAATTGTGACAGAATACTGTGTAATGACAGACACACAGCACCAAATAGCTGCTTCGTCTTCCCCCTGGAACCCCGGAATCCGTGCGAACTAGCTTCGCGTTTCTGTCGGGACTCGAACCCTCAGACTGGAGGCTGAGCGACAACCAAAATTTCAACCTTAACTAAATCAAATAAATCGGGCAAAAGTGGTTAAACGACTAGGTCAGATCAAACATCGCCTTCTGTCTCCCAGATAGTGCTTGCACGACTACAGATTTGGATCCGTCCCTGAAAGCTGAGTATACAATCGTATTCAATAAGAAGTAAGTAAGAATGATACTACTAGAAGAATTTGTACGAAATGACCAATGATGCTTGCATAATGAAATCAGCAAGGAATACACACCAACCAGTACGAAGTAGGATGAAAATAGCCAAAGCGTCGGTTATAATATTCCCTGATTTTTCGGACATGAAATCTTTCTGATCAGTCGACGGAAATGGTATTCATTTTGACCCGGTAGTGTGCTTGCACCCCATTCATGCCGCTTCACTCACAACCTAGTCCCCCTATGCTATTCTGTCGATGTCTAAGACATATTTGTATTGCTACTATTGGTGGTTATCAGTAGTCAAACTCTGTTCGGACAATCTATCCTGTTTCCTGCTTTCTTATTGTCTAAGTCTAATCTCCCTCTGTCTTGGTAACCCGTCAACTTGGTTCGTTCACTGTGTGGCTCTGAGTACCACAGTTCTTTGTTGGACTGCTGGTCAAATAACTTCGAAAANCGATTTTAGCCTTGTTTTTTGGTATGCTGTATGTTGGCGTGTTGTTTTTATCATGAATGAGCCACTCCAGACAAGCAGTTCCGACTATCTTCTGATATTGCCACTGACCTCGAGCGTGCATGTGCTCAAGCGAAGAGAGTAGCACAGTACCCCCTAGACACAGATCGTGTATTAACGCCCATTCGTGAAACATGCTTGTTTGAACGGAAGTAAAAATTCACTGGTACTTCCAGCGCAATGTCATTTGTACTAATTGGAAGAAGCCATTCAGAATTGATTCGCACT